ATAAACAGTTCTTTTTTTTTTTTTAACCATTCTCAAAATGACCATCTCAGCATATTAAGATGTATAGTAAACATTAAAAGTTCAATGTCATTATGATTGGTTGATGCAAACCACCAATTTATACAAGGCTATACTTGAAATCTCAGAACCTTTCTTCCCTCTTACAAGCTACTGCTGCTCACATAAGGTACCGTACAGAAAAGGTGTCTAGAAGAAGTTCATTAAAGCAAAAACAAAACAGAACAAGCCCTCAGAATAAAACAATCAAAATTGAATAAGAGGAAATCAATCAATCAACAACACCCAATTAGAAAAGTACCAACCAAACCAAACGAAAACAACCCACCCACTTCTGTAATGGATACTCTTCATCTATCTCCTCATTCCACTCAGGGAGGGTACGCATGAAGTGAAAGCAGCTCAGTGGCTAAATATTCACCCTCCACCCCCAAGTCCTAAGAAGCACTTCCGGTTACTAGGCTCTACCTAGGCCACAGACACTGGGACTTGGCTGGCCCTACCCCACTCCTAGCCTCTCCTAGGACTCTCCAACCACTCCCCCTGAATTCCACCTTTAGGGAATTTAGGTAAATGAGACCAAATCCCTTACTGGTATTCTGTTCATACAACCTCCCTCTGAAGTTTCCTCAGCAAATCTGCCTACCCCAAGTTTAGCAAGAGACAGGGCTCTCAGCTTTGTGAAATGTCAAATGAATCTGTAAAAGTCTCACTTAAGCAATTTATAAGAATCCTTGTATATGTATCTGTCCAATGAACAGTGCCAAGTTTTCAAAAAATTATTTATTTATTTAAGTAATCTCTACACTCAATGTGGGGCTTGAATTCATGACCCCAAGATCAAGAGTCGCACTCTCTTCTGACTGAGCCAGCCAGGTGTCCCCCAGAAGTGCAAACTTTTAAGGCTGCAAAAACTAAAGAGTTAAAACTACTCTTCAAAACATAAGCAACATTAAAGAAAGAAAAGGTCCCAACAGAATTCAAAGCATAGTGAGCCACAGACCTTTTCATTCTGTTGTTTGGTTGAAGACTTGTCAATAACCAAATCCAACTGGTGGTAAATGACATTTCCTATTTCAGCCACTGTATTTACAATTAGATGTTAATAGCTCAACATCCCAGACAACCCCCCAAGTGACCCTCCGTTGTCAAAGACCTTGCTGTTCTTACAAAGGAAGTCCACTTTCTTCGTGGGGGAGAAGCATAATCTGTCACTTCACTATATAAAATCAGAAGCTAAACTAAAAGTGAAGGAAGTAAAATGATGAGGACTCTAGTGCCAGCCAGTCTGAGCACAGCGCAGGGTTAAAGGAAACCATTTCGTAAGATCAAGTGCGGAGAAGCAGTAGGGGCAAAGAGGAAAAAATCAAGTTACATAAAGTCCAATTGTACTCACTGTTTCCTTATTGGGAAGCAGCTCCTTTCTAATTCTGAAGAAGTTCTTGCCGTACTGCCTGAGCCCCTTAACGAAGCGTTTCTGTGATAAAAAGAAACAACAAATGGGATGTAAAAACCAAAAACAAAACAGGATGTCAGCAAAGCAAAGATATCTGCAATCAGCAGAATAACAACCATAAAAGTCGGAGCTAGGGAATACTGACGAGGCTGGGAGACCATTTCAGCAGCACAGCTGGGACCCCCCCCAGGGCCAGGGCAGGCCCCGGACCGCCTCATTCGAACCCCAATAGCACACACCAGACAGGTTTGGGAGAAGGACATCCTGGATGTGAGCCTAAGAAGCAATCTGCGCCTTCTGTGCCACAGTCTCCGCATCGGTCCACGAAGGTATAAACAAATACGCTTCGTGTTTCAATACAACAGCACAACTGCTTTGCACCTGAGAACGAAGCTTCCCAGAGTGTCGAGCAGAAGAGAGGGAAAAAGAAACCTGAAGACTTCCCCAAAAGGTCACCCTAGAGGGGTTAAAAGGCCCTTTCATCAATCCGAGGAATGCACCAAGAAGGCACCGATATCGCGGACGCCCACTGGGAGCCCGCACCCCCGCTGGCCTGCCCCGCCATCGCCGTCATTAAAAGCCACTCCGAGGCACCAAATAAAGAACCATCAGCACCCCCTCCTTCCTCCGACGCTCCCCACCGCCCCTCCACCCCAGC